TCTTCTCTTCTCATCCCTAATTCTTCCCTTCCTAGTCTATATCATGTTAGCTAGATAAATTAGCAGGGGAGACATGCCACATCTAAAATATGACATTGTTCTGGGGAATGTTCTAGACCTTCAAGCTGATCATTCTACTATGTAGCACCTTTGTAATGTAATTTTGGTATCAATCGATAATTAAAAATTCTGGGTGCTGTCAAATTCTTCGCGCAAAGAATGTTTGATATATATTTTTCAAAATAATCTATATATACATGTTATGATGACTTGTATTCCAAGTCCGTGGATCCAAATAAATCTGATGGCATTAGTGATTGTGTTAAAAGCAATCTTAATAATAATTCAAGAAATAGTTGGACACTTTGGATAAGGATCAAGAGTCTTTGTCTTTCAATACAAGTTTGTTTCCTTATTTAATTGGGAAAATTTTTGGTTGGGTCAAGACATGAAGACTTCCATATTTATTAAGACTTTGACTATATGAAGTATTCTTTACATATAGAAGTCTTTTGGATATCAACAATGCTACATCCACCAAATTATTTACCAACTTTTGAATCCCAAATCAATATAAACCATATGATTAGTAGATTCTGAACTCTCACTAACTATCCAATAGCTATCAATGAGACACATCATTTGGGATTCAAAAATTTGGTAAAAGTTTTGATGGACACATCATTTCCCTTTGGATATTGGCCTTAGGCGTTCAGATATATTGAAGAGCTCGACGACGACAATTTGGTGTGTATGATAAATTGGGTCTACTCTATTTGTTTGTGGGTAAATTGGGTCTACTCTATTTGTTTGTGGGTCTTCTTCAAGAAAGCCAATATTGGTTAAAGAAGATTTTTGGCACTATTAATCTTGTAATAGTGATATAACAGATATACGTTCTCTTGTTGCCTTATATTTTGAGAACGTTTTGTAATCTACAACCTTTAATAGTGAAATCGTACCGTTGTATTTCGTTCCTAGACGTAATCTTCCTTGTTGAGCTGAACCACGTAAATCTTGTGTGTTCTATTGTTCTATTTTGTTGCATTATTATTTTTCTTGTGACATTGGTTCATACCAAAATGGTATTAGAACTACTGGTTTCGGGATGTTTGCAACAAAATTAAAGATAGAAAAATTTGATGGTCAAAACAATTTTAATTTATGAAAAATTAAAATGAAGGCATTGCTTCGTCAGCAGCATTTGGCAAAGGGCATTGATGGATCTCTATCCAAGGAGACATATTAGACTAAGTTGCTGATATTTAAGATAAAGCATACAATGCAATTCAATTGTCTCTTTCTAATGAAGTCCTTCATGAGGTTATCACTGAAGACTATGCCAAAGGGCTATGGAAAAATTTGGAGAGTTTGTATATGAAGAAGTCTCTTGCCAGCCATTTGTATTTGAAGTAACGGTTGTATACACCCAAGATGAAAGAAGGTATGCCCATTAATGAACATCTTGACAAATTTAAAAAAATTACTATGGACTTGAAAAGTATAAATATTAAAATTGGGGATGAAGATCAAGCCCTTATCGTGATATGCTCATTGTTTGATTCGTTTGATAATTTTGTTAATTTGATGTTGAATAGGAAAGACTCGATCTTCTTAGTTGATGTGAAATCTTTTTTAAATTCTAAGGACTTGCTTACTAAATTGAACGATAAAGACAGTGATGCTCAGGCTAAGGGTTTTTTTTTTGTGAAGAGTTGTCATGATAGTTCCTCTAATAATAATAGAGGTTGATCCGTTGAGAGAAATTCAGATAAAGGAAAAGAAAAATCTAGATATCTATCACAGTGTAGGAAGAAACAGAATAATGTTGAATGTTTCTATAGTCACAAAATTGATAATTACATGCATGATTGTTTTAAGTTGAAAATAAAGGGGGACATTAAAAATCAAATCCTTCTGATTCTTCTAGTGTTGATGGTGTTGCAGAAGATACATCTAATGGTTCAGATAATGTCCTTATAGTTGTTAATCTTTGATGAACATTTTAATGATGAGTGAATTCTTAATTTGGGTTGGTCCTATCATATGTTGGTTCAATATTGCTGGAAAATAATATTGCTTGCAAGGTTGCAATAGTAGGTACTATCCAAATTAAGACACATGATGAGATTGTGAGAACTTTGATAGATGTATGACATATTCTAGAATTAAAGAAGAATTTGATTTCTTTGTGTACTTTAGATTCCATTGGTCGCATGTTTTTTGTTGAATGAGGAGTTATGAAAGTTTGTAGAGGTTTCATGGTTGTGATGAAAGATAAAAACATTGATAGCATCTATATTCTTTAGAGTGATATTGTGATTGGTGCAGCTAGTGTGTCATCTTCAAAAATTTCAAATTCAGATACTATTTAGTTATGATATATGCGTTTGGGCCACATGACCGAGAGGGGAATGAAAGTCTTGTGTAAATAAGATTTGCTTGGCAAATAGGAAATTGAGAAGCATAATTTTTGTGAGCATTGAGTCTTCAAGAAATAGTGTACAGTCAAGTTCATTACAACTTTTCACATGAATAAAGGTACAATTGATTATATTAATTTAAATCTTTGGGGTCCTTCTCAAGTTCCATCTAATGATGGTGCTCGGTATTTTTTTTGCCTTTATTGTTGGTTATTCAAGGAAAGTTTTCGTGTATTTTCTGAAATGAAAGAATGATATTTTTTGGCATTTCAAGTATGAAAGATTTTGATTAGGAAACAGACGTGCAAGAAGTCAAGCATCTCAAAACATATAATGGTTGGAAATTTTTTGGAGGTGAGTTTAATAAGTTCTGTAACAATGAAGGCATTGTCAGGCATTGCATTGCCTGGTCTACTCCATAACAAAATGGGGTTGCAAAGAGGATGAACATGACTCTTTTGGAGAGGGCACATTGTATGCTCTCTAATGCAAGGTTGTTTAAATCTTTTTGGGCAGTGGCTATCTGCCTTGCTTGCTATTTGGTTAATCGTTCTCTATCCACTACTATTGAGTTAAAGACTCCATATAACGTATAGTTTGGTACTCTTGCTGATTATTCTGATTTAAAAATGTTTGGTTGCATTGCTTATTATAATGTAAATGATGGTAAGCTTAAGCCTAGGGCTAAGAAATGCATATTTATTATTATGCTAATGGTGTGAAAGGATATAGATTATGGTGTTATGATCCTAAATTGCCTAAGTTTATAATTAATAGGGATGTTGTATTTGATGAATCTTCTATGTTTCATATGAGAAAGGAGTTTGTAGTTTCTGTAGGGAAAATACATGGTTATAGCAAGGAGGTGGAGCTACAGGTGGAAGCTTTATAGAAAGTACAATAGTTCAACCTATTACAGATTTGCCTAGTTTTAGTTCTAGTTCTAGTGATGATCCACAGGTGGAGCAGCAGTATAGTATTGCAACGGGTAGGGAGATGAGGCAAGTGAGGCCTCCTAAAAAATATGGGTATGCAAACTTGATGGCACACTTACTATATTAGAGGAGTTTGGTGTTCAGCAGGACATTCCAATCACAATGTCTTTTCCTCTAAAGGTACGGAATTACATCATACGAACCAAAGCAATCGCATTATGCCTCCAGCAAATCAGTCCACTTTTCCTCTGTCAACTCAAATAAAGAACGCAATCGAGATTTAACCTGTGAAATTTGTGGCAACGTGGGCATGAGGCATTAAAAGGATTGTATAGGTTTGACAAAGCCTATCATCCCAATGATGTGCCTCAGGCCCTTGTTGCATTAACAATTAATAGCACGACATAAGATCAGGAGTGGACAACAGATTTGGGAGCTACTACTGATTAACCACTTGAGTGTGAGTTTTTTGGTGTTGGTTTCACTATAAAGGATAGGGCCACTAACCATATACTACTGAGAGGACACAAGCGGGGTAACCTTTACTTCATCCTTGCTTTTCCTGAGGCCCACCTCTCGGTGTGATTTCAAGCTATGAGCAATGATGTTTGGCATCAGTGGCTAGGCCATCCACAAGCAGCTGTTGTTTCCAATTTACAATCCCGCGGATTACTTTAAGTTCTTGGCAAAAATAAAACCACTTCCATATGTGAAAGTTGTCAAATGGGCAAATTCAGTCAACTTCAGGTTCTTATCTCTTCAAATAAAAATTATTGTTTACCTGAAAAGCTCCATTGTGACCTTTGGGGGCCTGCTCCTATTAATTATGTTGACAAGTTCTCCGATTATGCTGTTTTAGTCGATGAATTTAGTCGATATATGTGGTTTATACCATTGAGACATAAATCTGAATTGTTTACATCTTTTTGCTCATTTGTTACATTCCTTAACCGTCAATTTTCAATAAAAATCAAGGTTTTCCAATCTGATGGCGGAGGAAAATTTACTTCCAACGTCTTTAAAAATTATTTACAAGAATTGGGAATCATCCACCAAGTCTCGTGTCCTCGAACACCGAACCAAAAATGGTATTGCCTAACATTGCCACCAGATTATTTGTGAATTGTGGCTTACTATGTTGTTTCACAGTGGTATGCCCAAATGTTTCTGGGTAGAGGCCTTCTCTACGACTGTCTTTTTGATCAATCGTATTCTGACTATTACACTTGGCAAGAAAGCACCATTCTTCAAGTTTTATGGTAGACATCCATACTATATTGAGAATGTTTGGATCAAAATGTTTTCCATACATCTAGAATGCTCAAGCCACCAAATTTTACCCCAAGTCTCTTCCATATGTGTTCATGGGCTATAGCAACAGATACAATGGCTATAAGTGCTTTTATCCCGTTACCAAACACATTTATGTTTCCCGACATGTAGTCTTTGATGAAGGGAATTCTCCCTTCAAAAACCCAGCAAGCTTACACTCACCTTTAGCATCTCCTAAGGTTATATCAATCTTCTCCAAATGGTTAAAGTCCCGGTCTCTCACTAGCCCCATACATGACTCACCCCACCACTAGTATTTTAGCTACCTCTAACATTTAATTGATGTAGGATTAGCTTCATATTACTATACCTTCTATGCTGCCATTAGTTACAGACCAAACAGATGATGACACTGTCATCAATGTCGACTCTGCACCAGCGTCTACCATACCCCCCACTATGAGTGAAATAGAGGAGCATCCTCGATCTTTCGAGCCACCGAGTACCTCTATTAGCAACTCTTCCTTTACCGATTTTGAACAACCTACTAAGCTTGCTAGCTCTAGTGTTGCCCCCTCACTCCCCAATGACAATGCCGCTACTTCTCTTTTTGATTCTGCCATGCCTATTAATCCTATGGTCACACCAGCAAAAGTAGGTATCCATAAACCTAATCCCAAGTATGCTGACCTTCGTAAACTGCACTCTATTCCTAAACAACCAAAGAGCATTCATTACTCCTTGAAACATGAAGGGTAGACTCGTGCAATGCATGAGGAATAGGCAATCCATCATAATAACACTTGATCCTTTGTTCCTCGACGATTTGATATGCACGTTATTGTATGAAAATGGCTCATCAAAACGAAACTCAATAGCGATGGGTCCTTCAATCGCTTAAAGGCCCGCTTAGTGGCCAAAGGCTACCATCAAATGGATGGTGTTGATTATGTCGATACATTATCACTAGTCATAAAACCAAGTACAATTCGTATAGTTCTCACCATTGCGTTAGTTCGAAAATTGGAGATTAGAAAATTAAATGTCAAAAATGCCTTTTTATATAGTTTTCTCTACGAATCCGTCTTCATGGAACAACCACCAGGCTTCATAGATAGCTCTATCCCTAATCATGTTTGCAAATTAAATAAATCTCTCTGTGGTTTAAAGCAAGCTCCTAGAGCTTGGTTTGATAGATTTAGTAGGTTTTTTACTAGAATTTGGATTCTTTTGTAGCATGTCTAACCCATCCCTTTTTATTTGTCATTTGACTTGTGGAACCTTAAGTTTATTACTCTATGTTGACGATATAATTTCACATGAACTAATATCTGCTTACTCAATGAATTTATTCATGCACTCCATCTTGAATTTGCTATGATGGATTTAGGTCCCTTAAATTATTTTGCAAGACTTGGGATGAGTTGTTAAATTTGTCGGTCCAATTGTCATATTCTATGCATGGTCACCCCACTTGCATGTTGTGCAAGGCTGCGAATTTGAAGAACTTGATTGAATTGAAACAGAGTTTCCTAGGAAATTACGTTCATGTTAAGGTGTTTGTGGAAAATGTTGAGGGTTCATTGCATGATATGAACATAGATGATGTTGTCACAGTCAGAAAGTTCTTCTAACGGTTGGTTAGAGTAATGAAATATGGCACATAGGGCATAAATTTTAAGGTGGTGTGTTATAGTTTTGGAAATAACTTTGCAAAACCTTGATTAAGGCTGGTTTTGAATTTAATTATGTAAAGAATTGTAATCAAGAGTTATTGCTGAGTGTTCCTTTAAGTATTCTTGTTGTTGTGGGTGGTATATCAGTGCAACAGTTGAGAAAGCTACTAGTTTTTTTTTTTTTGATATTAGGAAATTGCACAATGAACATAGTTGTGGTGTGGATCTACGAACGACAGGTAACAAGAGGATGAGTTCTAATTTGATTGCAGATTTGATTGTTGATCGTGTCTGTGGGCATACCACAACGCGTCCAACAGAGGTGGTTGCTTGATTTTTTTTTTCTAACTATGGACTTACCATATCTTATGATAAAGCATGAGAAAGAGTTGAGAAATCAAAAGGTATGCTTTTTGGGGACCACTCATTGTCGTACCATCAAGTACGTTGGTATGTCAATTCAGCAAATCATTCTATTCCAGATAGTCATATTGTTTTAGATTGTGATCATGAGAATAACCATTTGAAAATTTTGTTTGTTTCTTTTAAGGGTTTTATTCAAGGGTTTAATTATTTTCGTCCACTATTTTTTTTGGATGGTACATTTTTGAAAGGCAAGTATAGAGGTAATCTTCTATCGGCGAGTGCAAAAGATGGAAACCAAGGTAAAGTTTAATATATTTTTTGGAGTGATAAATTTCATGGTTATGTTAAACAATAATCGTTATGTTACACTATCTTTGTTACATTGTTAACAGTGTTTAAATACATTTCAACAATGTATGTTACACTGTTTTAGCTTTTAATTTTCATGAATATTTATGTGGCTAATTTCAGGTTTGTTTCCTTTGGCATTTGCGGTGGTTGATTCGGAGAACGAATCAAACTAATTTTAATTTTTAGAATAGCTATCTAAAATATTGGATCATTCTCGGGTTATTACATTTGTATATGATCGTAACTTGGGTCTGTTAGAGGCAATGCCAAAATTTTTTCTAAATGCTCGTCACACATTTTTCTTGCAGCATTTGAAAGCTAATTTGTAGGATAAATTGAGTGGTGCTCATTTTTCAATATATTCTGAGAACGGATGGTGATTTTGTTACGTGAGTGTGCTTATGCACCAACACAGTCATTTTTTAATGAGAAGATTGAAGCTTTCCGTCCTGAAGGTGGTTCTAATATGGATAGGTTCCTGTCCAATCTTCCGTTTGAACATTGGACAAGTACTCATTTTACAGGGAAGCATTACGGTGAGATATGTTCTAATACTGTAGAGTCGTTTAACGCGTGAATTTTGAAAGCTCGACATTTACTTGTGACTAGCAAGGTTGACATTATTAGGGGACAAATAATGGATCAAATTGGCCAAAGGATGAAGATAGCTTTGGAATGGAATGAGAATTTATGCCCCAATATGTCTTCCAGATTACAAGCTGCCTTTGATGAATGAAGGTCTTGGACTATACGAGTTTCAAATAATCAAATGCATGAAGTGATGTCATATCCTTCGGTGATGGTTGATATTGTGAATGACACGTGTTCATGTTGTCAGTGGCAAATAAATGGGTTCCCTTGTTCACATGCTATGTCAACAATACAAAAGAGTGGGTGGAATATGTATGAATTTGTTGATTATTACTATCATGTGAGCACATAGAAGAAGTCATATTCTGAACCCATTTATCAAATCCCAACTATTTGTCATGCTAAAAGTTCACAGGCAGGTGTTAATATTTTGCCACCATCTATCAAGAAGCAAACTGGTAAACCAAATAATCATAGAATTCGATCTAGGGGGAACTCATTAGGCGAATTCGTTGTGGCCGGTGTGGTCGTTTAGGAAATCACAACAAGAAAACTTGTAACGAGCCATTGTAAACTTAAGAATGCTACCATTTAATGACATTTTTCACTATTTTTTGTTTAATACACTTTGTTTTCACAATTTTTTTGGGGTTTGTTTGTGTTAGTGACATTTTCACATTGTAATTTATATGTTTTTTGTTGGGTCTCACATTGATGGGTTATTCTGTATGCAACCCACACTGTCCTATAAATATTGTCCATTAGAGTTGATCCCTGTGGGTTTAATTTGTAATAGTTTCACATTACGTAGTGAATTTATACACTGTTGGAAGCCCTATATATGCATACGGTTTTGCTTAAGAATTACATTTTATAGTACAATCTACTGTTACAAAGTTACACTATAAAAATCACGATGTATCAATAATAGTGTATTAATAATAGTGTATGAATACACTTACACAAAAGTAGCTCTGTACTGGATTTCTTATTATACCCACAAACCACTGAACACTGTCGTTATTATAGTGTTACACTATTGTTACAGTGGTATATTGTATGTGTTATACTATGAGAGAAACACAGTCAACAGTGAGGAGATACACAAAGTCTAATCACACACAATGAATTAATAAGGCATAAACACCTTCATCCCTGAACAATCTGGATAATTAACATTCACTATATAAAATGTTTTATAAACAGAATATCTAAATCCATAATTGTTTATCCACTAATGTTCAAATTTTAAAATACACACACAATGAAAACTTTGTCATTTGTCCGCATATAATTTCTTTAGTTGCCTACGTATTTTCAGATCTTCTTTACTCCAAGAATTCGGATGGTTGAGGAACAATGAAACCATTTCAGCTGGGAATGTGTTTCGATGCTTTTTAAAAACAAAAATTACATTTGGAGAATAAGTACTTAAGAGTTTGCCCTTTGTTGTGGACATGTTTGACATAATATTGTTGGTAGCTCCTTATCCTATATGTCTATAAAGATTCTCTTCAAAGTATTGAACTCCATAATCTTCTTTTCTGCATATTTTTCTGCAACTACATTAAAAGCTTTTAGATTATGGATTGATAGCAAAAAATATGAACTTCTAACAATACTGTTTTGACATAATCTAACCAATATGATTGCATTCTCTAGGTATATGCCCCATCTATCCTTATTTCTTGGCCTTAATAAGTTGTAATATGTTCAAACACCTTCTTTAGTATTCAATACAAGCAGAGTCCAATGGTCAGGAGCACAATCTTCTTTCCGACCATTTGAATTCATTGGAAAGACAACATATTTGGAATCTCCCACGTATGGTATGTGCTTGTCTATTTCTGCTTGAGGGGCATACTCTAAATTTAGTTCAGTTACAATGGACTACACATTCAAAATATGTAACATATAAAGTGTTATATATGTGCACAAATAAACTAAGTCAGCAACTATTTTTATCATTACTATTTAGTATCTTACCCAACAACGACTGTTGATGAAGTAACAACGTCTCTTAAATGTGGACATTGTATTCATCAATCCCTCTTAGCATATTAACCCAACAATCAATGATCTGTTAAAAAATAAATTTTTTACATGGGTATCAATTGGAATAAGTTGAACTCCCTCATAAACACTATTCTATTACATTATTCAGCCAATGCTACACTGTCAACTAACACTTTGGAACTAAAAAATGCAATATCGGTTATGTTTATATACTACATAACTTTTTGGCCCAATATAACATGCTGATAACTAACTCAATGTACGAAACATAGCCCCATCCTTGAGATGACCTGGTGTGTGTGTGAAAAAGAGAATAACCATTAGGAATAGGCATAACAGCCTTGCAATGTCATCAACGTCATTTTTCGTTGTTCCATTTGTTGCTTTAACCAGTTTACTCCTTATCAAAGTTAAGGTCAACCTACTATCCTTCTCGAATCTTCATTTAACAAATTTTGTGTTTTCCTTCGCATGAGTTGATGAATCCATTGGATCGCAACCATCTTCAATCCCAAAAATTATTTTGACATTGCTTGTTCGCAATTTAATTTCCTCTCCACCAATATGAAACTTGGGTGTATTAACATCAAAGCATAATATCACATCCTAAATGTTACTATAAC